AGAAAGAAAGAAAGGAAGGAAGGAAGGAAGGAAGGAAGGAAGGAAGGAAGGAAGGAAGGAAGGAAGGAAGGAAGGAAGGAAGGAAGAGAAAAGGGGAAAAGAAAAGTGTGTGTGCATTTATGTATGTGAAGCAGTTCTAATTCTGAATGAATTCAGTTAATGTGGGCTTTGCCTATACAGCTAATATGTGTGAAGACTTAATCATAATAGAAGCTTACCCATTTACTCAAATGAATACACTATTTACAACCTGTAGCATTGAAAATAAACATGATACCTAACATTTCTGTTTCACATAAAGGGACAGTAACTGTAGAATTTTTCATCCTTCACAACTTGATAAATGAAAGGAAAGAGAGAGGCAAAGCTCCTAGCCCTATATGTGACTTACAAAGGAGGAGTGAGCATTCATCTCCATCTTACCGTAAACATACCTTGAAGAGTAGTTAGCTGAGAGAGTCTGAAGCCAGATATGTGCAAAGAGCCATTGACTCTGCCATTCTTGGCCTATGTGACCTTGGCCCTTGACTGCCATTCGACAAGAAATTCTTCACTTTAAAAAGAGGTAGTTGTATTAAGTTCATTGAGATGAAGTAATTGACCAAGACTGGCAATGAGATCTGTGTTGGTGGTTTGGTTGGTAAAATGCTTGCCTCGCAAGCATGAGAAGCTGAGTTCAATTTCCAGGTACCACCAAAAAAGGTGTTATAATACATTTATTATCCCATCTGATGGCTGAGAAACCACACCGAAGGTCCTCTGGCTTCCACACACACATATGTGTGTGTACACACCCACTTACACACATGTGCAAATATGCAGACATATGAGAAACTAGGCAGCTGTCCTTGTCTAGTTCTGACTTCAGAAAATGTGCATTGTGTGGCCATAGAATGTCTTTAGAGGAGAATTTAGAGAGGCTACTGGTGAGACAAGTACATATTTAAAGCACATCCATCATCAGAACAAATTTAAACATTTAAAATATAGCATTCTTGCATACAATCAGTACTCTGAGCTAATTGCTTCCTGGTTTCAGATAACTGAAGACCCCAAAATTGAATTTGTGCATAATCCAACAATGAACTGGTTGAGCACCATCACCTTCCAGACTTCTCCACTATAAATAGGGCATACATAAATGATGCCCTTGAAGGTTATTGAGTGATATTGACTCAACCTCCATTGACTCACTGACTCTCAAGTCAAGAGATTACACAGGATCAAACAGCTAGTGCCACAAAATTGGTGAGTACAAAATATTGAGGGAGAAAACCAGTGCAGGTTGCATGGAGAAAAGTTACAGAAGTTACCCCCATCAGTTACCACTGAACTAAGATGTAGATAGGATTTATTAATATCGTTTTCATCTGTAACATTATATAACAAACCCCATTATTTGCAGCTGGAAATAACCATTTATTATTTTTATGCATTTTTGGATCTTCAAGGTCTGATCCAAGTGTGCCAAGTCTTTTGAAACTCATGCACTTCTGCAATGGCCTCTCAAAATCAGCATATACACATGGTAGGAAACTAGAAGACACTCTGTAATGTGAATGGCTACAAAAATCAAATCACAACCAATATAACATTACAGGAAGTGTTGGAGAATTTGTGTTATGATTTTCATTTCTTCAAAAGATAGAATTTGTCAGACAAGACAAAGGAGGAACAGCACTCAGACAGAAAACAGCATTGATAAACATATTAGTAAGAATTTCATTCAAGAGAGACTACCATATTTTTTGTGCCTTTAATTCTTATAGCGCACTACATTTTTTAGAGTAGCATGTCCCAGACTTCAGTGTTTTGACTGTAGGAAATGATTCTGTGGTTTGCTATTTGGGCAAAGCTGATTTACAGAGATCTTTTCATGGTGAGTCCTCTTATAGTACCATGAGTAATTGAATCAGTACATTTTACACACTTGGTCTTTCATATGGATTTATTCCTTTAACCCTCTAGTGATCACATACAGCCACCACTATTATTTGAACTAATTTACACATAGAGAAACTAAGAAAAATCAAGTTATGCTAACACACTGACTAATCACTCCTCCACGGCCACTAATTCCAACATTTTTTGAATATTTGTCAGCTATCATCTACTTAAGGAGCACAAAATGATATCTTAAAGTTCAATTCTGAGATTTTTAGTGTTTACTAAATTGATACAAAAGATAAATTGTATCATCCATCCTGAATTAATTTAATCCAGGTTACCATCAGTTTCTGTTTCCTAATCTAGTTACCTGTTTGTTTTTTTTTAATATGTCACAGAACTTCATGCATCTGAACATATAAGCCCATACCAACATCTTTGGCATTTTATTCTGGCCTGCAAATGCTTGATTGCATTTCTCTATAACTCATTAGAATTAATCCTTGGAACTGACAAGGAGTTATCAATATTTTGCTAAACCTCACAAAGACTACTTTAAAAACAAAAAGCTGGAGGCATCTTTAGAAGCAATTAAATAACTTGTGTCAAATGATCCTGCTCTCTCTAGGCTTGGAGCAAAATCCAATGTGTTCTTTCCTTCTTGGGAATGTTGGACATCCAGGCATAAATGCAATGGTGCCCAGGCAAATTGAGTGAACTGGTCTTGGCTCTCAGAAAACTCAGTTATATTTTGAGTTTTGGTTTCCCCATCTGCAAAATCAGCATCATCAATATCCTGGTACAAGAACTGAGTTGGAAAAATATTTTCATTCTAGTAAAGGCTATTTTAATTTATAATAAAATGAAAATACCATAGTGGCTGTTAATGCATAAGTATTAAGTCAGAATGTGGTTATTTTAGACCAACTTTTAAGCAATGTACATCCAAACTTCTAAGTGATGACCACTTGCTCCTTCATCTCCATTTATCCCACAGTTGAATGATTTGGCTAAAATGCACAGGACTGGAAACCATTTCTTCTCCTAATATCATTAATCTAAAATTCCAAATACTTTAATATGCATATGTTATTAGCAATATCATAAGTGAAATTATACAAAACACCAACTCAGCCATGTTTTTATCATCACTGAAAAATATGCAAGCTCTTGTGTCTATTTGCAGCTCTTATGGACCTCTGCAGTTATTTCCTCTTATTGCCCTTTAAAATCTAGGCAAACAAGGAAACTCATTTCACCATTTAATTGTACCTTCTGCTTTCTCACTGCTTTGCCCAGCCTTTGACTTTATTGTAAAATAATACTTATTGTCTACACAATAAATATTAAAGGGTACACTATAGTAGGCAATGGAAATACAGCAGTGAACTAAACATCCTAGTTTTGCAGGTATTTCAT